ATATTATGATTGACTGATTGATTTGGCATCTTTCTGTCTTTTCAGACCTAGTGTTATATTGCGCTTTGAGGAGGCACGGGACTCACAGCCCATGGCTATGGCGAGTGTGACAAGCAAGACCCGCCCGCGTTAAGAAAAGTCTTCCACAATTACAGAATGGAATCTCATCGACAATTGTTGTCAACGTTTGTGTTTAGTCTGTTTCTTCAACACGGTCGGTGGCATTTTGTCCCCACGAGTCCACCACAATACCTGTATTATTCATGTCCCGCGTGTACACGTCTTTATATCGCAGTAGACATCTTCTACCCGTGTTTAATTCACTATAAAGGATGTCCTTAGGGACTTCCTCCATTCTCCAGGTGTGACCCAACCACCTGAGCCTTTGTAGACTGAACACTGAGATGACTTTTGTAACACCTGCTCTTTCCAGTATACCTTAGTGATTGTGATTTTCTCCTGCCACTTAATGACAAGCATTCTTCTTAGGCATCGCATGTGAAAGCTATTAAGCCGTCTCTCCTGGTGCAAATAAGTTGACCAAGTTTTACTGCCATAAAGCAGAGTGATGAGAACACAAGCCTGATAGACAAGGGTTTCTGTTTTGATTGTGAGCTTTCTGTTATCCCAAACTCTTTTTATTAATCTGCTCATTGTTGTTGCTGCCTCACCTATCCTGATGTTGATTTCCTAGTCCAGCGACAGTTTTTTATTTACTGTGGAACCCAGGCAGGTAAAATGGTCTACTGTCTCCAGCTCTTCATCGTCAATGTAGACTATATGTCTGTCATTGACACCTTAACCGTTGTCTTCTTTTTGCTGATTTTTAGTCCAAATTCACAGCACGCATCAGCAAATGCAGACAGTAAACACTTCAGCTCCTCTTTTAAGTGGGTGATTATTGTCGCATCATCAGCAGTAGCTCTGATAAGTTCCTTTCTTATCGTGGATTTAGCCTTCAGCTTGGTAGCATTGTGCAGGCTGCCATCAGATCGAGAATGAATGAATATACCACCCTCCAGACCTCGAAAGGAATGTTCCATAAGAAGTGAGAAGTATATTCCAAAGAAGGTATGAGCAAGTACACATCCCTGCTTCACTCCACTGTTGATTACGAACTCCTCCGACGTTACACCAACAAAGTTGATTGTACCTCTCATAACTGTGTGAAAAGACTCAGTAATGCTCAGTAGGGTAGGTAGACTCCCAATCTTTGTCAGTGTGTTGAACATACCTTTTCGACTAACGAAATCAGATGCCTTGGAAAGACCAATAAAATCAATATACAATGGTTAGTTTTTCTCACGGCATTTCTCCTGGAACTGCGTAATAAAAATATCATATCACTGGTAGATCGGCTCCCACAAAAGCCACACTGGGAGTCTGGGTAAACCTGATCTCCCAGGATCTGGAGTCTTCGCAGAACAATTCTCGCAAGCACTTTCCCAACAGTACACAGCAATGTTATTCCCCTGTAGTTATTGCAGTCACTCCGATCACCCTTGTTCTTGTACATAGTTATGATGCTTGAGTCTTTGAAGTCTTGTGGAACCTGTCCCTCTTGCCAGCAGAGTGTTATTAGCTGATGAATGTGAAGGGTTAGAATGTCTTTCCCACTCCTGATGATTTCAATAGGAATTCCATATCTGCCTGGGGCTTTCCCCAAAGTCAGTTCATCAATAGCATTCCCAGCTTCCACAATTGTTGGAAATGTGTCCAGATAGTCAAGAGTTTGTAGCGTCTCCATGGCATTAGGAGCACCATCTGTTAGTTAAGTATCAACTGAGTAAAGCTCCAGATAATGTTCCACCCATCTATCTAGATGCTTCTTCTTGTCGTTAATAATCTCACTATTCAAACTCATTAGTGGTGCAATTTTTTAAATAGTTGGGCAGATCGCCTTCTGTATCCCTTCATACATGCCTCTTACATTACTACTACTGCTAGCATGTTGAATGCTTTGACATAAATGAATACATTAGCTCCTTTTGCAAAATGATTTCCAGCTGCTCTCACATCAATGAGAGAGTTCCTTGTTGTTCTTTCCTTGTTTCTGAGGAGTATTAACTTTTCGCTGTTAAATAAGGGTTGTTCCTTCGAAGTCGGAGTGCATCTGCCTGAGAGGCAAGGAACCAACAGTCTGCACACAAATGAGTCAGATCTGTCAAACGGATGCACACGCAACACTCAGGTTATGGAACAGGACTGCAGTCCAGAAGTGGACGGACAACCAGAACTTTCCACCAGAGTTTTACAGCTGGTGAGCACAAAAAAGACAAAGAAGAATAAGAGTTGGAGTGTCTGGCTATTTGCTTCAAAACAGTCCTAACTTCTGTGTTCTCTAATCCCACAGACTGAAACAGCTGTTTTGTAGACAATCTCCTTAATTCATCCCATTTTAGGCTTGCTGTAGATTTATCCTGGATATCAGCGAAAGCATCTTCAAGCTGTTGTTGGAACTCGAAACACTTTTCATGGTCTTTAGTTTTGGAAATATTTAACCTGGGGTTATATATATATATATATATATATATATATATATATATATATATATATATATATATATATATATAAAATGAACACACACACATACACGCACTCATGCACGCATGCGCTTGCGCACACACACTTACACTATTTAAAAAATCGTATCGCTACTAAACGGGAAATAATTTTTAGATTCAAAAGTTTTGTAATTTAATGAGTGAGACTGTTCAGGTTGCACACAAAAGTGCCATAGGGTTCAGCCAATCAACTGACAGTCTTTTGCATCTGGGTCATCAATAGTTTTAGGCGTACGGGCTTTCCTGTCAACTAATTAAAAAAAACCACCACTTGATAACATGCATATTTGTGAGTAGAACAAAATAAGCGTTTCTGATCTTGTATCGGCGTGTTAAAAAAACACTTTACTACGGACACTTTAGGAGACCAGGTCCCTTCGATGATTACTCAGCTCACTAACCTAGATATCGCTTGGGTGATTATCAGTAATTCGATTCTTTCCCCCGAAAGAAGCAAGCCAAATGGGAGGGGGAAACTGCGAACATAAATATTTATCCTGACCAAACGTAATGTCCCAGTAGGCATATAAACAGCAATAAGTTTATAAGGCCGTCTTGTGTAAACTACACGGCGTCTAAGACAAACACCAGTATTGACAGCAGCACAGCACTGGGAGTCGGTAACTGGGGAAAAATTAGCTTCGGGGAATGCACAATGTCCCGATTATCCGACAGGCTGATAATTAGGTAACTTCATGGAATGTACAATGTCCCGATTATCCGACAGGCTGATAATTAGGTAACTTCATGGAATGTACAATGTCCCGATTATCCGACAGGCTGATCATTAGGTAACTTCATGGAATGTACAATGTCCCGATTATCCGACAGGCTGATCATTAGGTAACTTCATGAGGGTACAAGGTGCCGATTATGCAAAAGGCTGATAATTAGGTCACCAGGGAATGTACAATACCTTTAATATTCAACAGGCTGATAATTAGGCACCCAGGGAATCTTCAACTGTGTGCCATCACCCAATTATTGTGTAAGAAGACTACCCTACCACCTTTAGCCATGTATGTATATTATCTTGTAAAGTATATATTCACACTTTTTATATTATTTCAAGTATATCTAATATTTATCTGTCATTCAGAACACTGTCCCCGCAATTACCGGTCCTAAGACCTGGCAAGAAAGGAGAAGGGTTGGACGTGGGATCAGCTGTTTATATATATATATATATATATATATATATATATATATATATATATATATATATATATATATATATATATATATATTTTTTTTTAAATATGTTACAGAAACCTGCAGTAAAGGATGTAAAATGACTGGAGTGAAATGGATGCATCTTATCTGCCATGTTAGTTAGCATAGCCAATTCCTTAGTGATGGGGAAAATGCCACGCTGGTAAACACAGGCATTCATCATTCCCTGGGCCGAGAACCCACAGGTAGAGAACCCACGGGTGAAGAACCCACAGGTAGAGAACCTACAGGTAGAGAACCCACGGGTGAAGAACCCACAGGTAGAGAACCCACAGGTAGAGAACCCACAGGTAGAGAACCCACGGGTGAAGAACCCACAGGTAGAGAACCCACGGGTGAAGAACCCACAGGTAGAGAACCCACGGGTGAAGAACCCACAGGTAGAGAACCCACGGGAGGAGAACCCACGTGTGGAGAACCCACGTGTAGAGAACCCACGGGTAGAGAACCCATGGGTGGTGAACCCACGTGTGGAGAACCCACGTTTGGAGAACCCACGGGTAGAGAACCCATGGGTGGAGAACCCACGTGTGGAGAACCCACGTGTAGAGAACCCACGTGTGGATAACCCACGGGTGGAGAACTCACGGGTAGAGAACCCACGGTTAGAGAACCCACGTGTAGAGACCTACGTGTGGAGAACCCATGGGTGGAGAACCCACGTGTGGAGAACCCACGTGTAGAGAACCCACGTGTGGATAACCCACGGGTGGAGAACTCACGGGTAGAGAACCCACGGTTAGAGAACCCACGTGTAGAGACCCACGTGTGGAGAACCCATGGGTGGAGAACCCAAGGGTGGAAGATCTATAATCCTGATGTATATTGTTCCTCTAAGTTAACAACAACAATTGAAATGCACAGAAAAACAGATGATTTACCAAATATTGTACTAGAGCTTGGACAACAAATAAGTTGTGAATAGACAAATATTTTGAAGACACCGACAACAGATCAAGCAGATGTCACACCAGAAACAAATAGAAAAAATTAACATATTTATTTACTTTCTGGACAGTAATTTTGATAGTAGCAGAAATAGAAAGACAGCAGTTGTGACAAACATTGGGAAGACATCAGCTGCTTTTCAAAGCGTGAACAAACTGTGGAAGTTTAAAGTGACTGCCTCCATCTCTATTCTCGATTTAGGTGTTGCGGTATCAAATGCTGATCTTGGTGACTTAACTACTGTCAACAACTTACCTCTTTAGGTGATAATATAGATATATAGTCTTCATATATCAACCGGGCTTTCTCCTCTATAAGCTCTGGATTACTTTCTTTCTTGAGTTCTTCGCAGGCCAGGTAGAAAAGCATGTTCTCCTCGCTGTACTCTGACCGCAGAAACTCTCGGAACAGCTTGCGACCACCTGCAAGTCAGCACACGAGCATGATTAGTTTCTCTCTCTCTCTCTCTCTCGCTCGCTCTCTCTCTCTCTCTCTCTCTCTCTCTCTCTCTCTCTCTCTCTCTCTCTCTCTCTCTCTCTCTCTCCCGCCATCCCTTCATCTCTAACTCCATGCAATTGCAGAATGAAAGATGAATCTTTGGAAAGGCCGAATGTAAGACGTCCCCACCTCCCCCAGTTACCACACCCTCAGATACTGTTTCCTACAAACAGTGGCGAGGCGCGATCAATTCGCATGTGTAAGCGTGAGTAGGAACCGATTACGCTGGATAGGTATAAGTAAGTCAGTGAAGGACCCTTTTCCACGCCTTTTTGCGTGTAGGGCATATAGGGATATACCTATATTTTATAGACCAATCGGCACAAGATGGGTGATGTGGTCAACATCACACCGGCCACCTTTACTTCCCGGGACTGCACCTGGTACACACTCAAGGTTGGGTCGACCTAGGCGCTGGATAGGGCATCATGTGATATTTTCCCCCTCGTCGCTTCGCCGTTGACTGAATATACTTGAGCAGTCAAGCAAAGGTAACTGGGAGCTTTCACACGTTCAATGTCTGTATGAGTGAGTAGCGTAAGTATGTAGTGAGCCTTCTTGTCGCTATGTCCGAGACGTCAGTCTTTTGTTCGGCACTGACAGGTTTAAGCAGAGCTTACAGCCGTGGGGGCTGCGTTAGCGCAGTCGATATGAGACTCGCTTTCAACTCCAGCTGCGACTCGCTGCATTCCACGGCCGTTGTTCGAAACCGGGCGACTCTCGGGGTTCACTCTAGGCAATGGGTACCAGAGTTAACACTCTGGGGTGAATGGAGGAACGGCGACACAGGTGTACAGCTTCTCATCGGCTGCCCGTACTGGTGGCAGAGCATTCACAGTTTATAACCGTTTGCAATGACGCTGGGTAACATCTCCCGACTTTACCTTTTACCTCTAACCGTTACACACACGCCTTGCTGCAGACTTCAACCCGTTATGGATTGTTAATCCGGTTAGCAAGGCCGAAGTACTTCAGTTTATGAGGACTAACATTCTGTCTATTATCTAGTTCCCCGCGACGTTCGTGAAGAAAGTCAGTAATTTTTATTTTCTTCTTAGTCGATGACTGGACGTAAATTTGCCTAGAAAAACCACACAACAGCCAGGGGCTGTTAGGGTTGGTTCTGCAACGTCCTGTAAAAGGATACGCAACTAACCTTAGTCGATGACATTTTAATAATCTTCCTTTTACATTTGCGATCTGATTAAAAGTTTCCCTATATTTTCCCATCAACGTTGAATCTCGTCTATAACGCCTGCTTGCCGTGCCGAATTGGTCTTTCATTGTTCATTGTTTATTTAAAGATCCTCCTTATGGCACGTCGGACATGATCATAAGTGCTCCGATCTTCTCCTCAGTATGTCTGCAAGTGTATTTAGGCTAACAACTCCCATTATTTCTGGCTAATGTAACGATGGGTGGCTCCCGTAAGGTTTTCCTGTCTCAGGGCTCCAATTGGTACACCCAGGTGGGTTTGTAGTCTATTCAGTGAAAACTCATTTTCCGCGTATGGCATTGATGATGTCTCTCCCGTGCACTGGTCTTTCAATATATGGATTTTCTGCCTTTTCTGCTGCACTGTCCATTCACTCCTAGAGAGCTGTCACCACGTCCGCTCTGCTTCTTTTATCCTCTAACTTTCACACTGTCACGATGTAGGTAAAGGTACAAGTAAAAGATCCCTTTTCACACCCTCAGGCCTACTGGGCATATAGGGCTAGACCTAAATTGTAAAGATCACTCGGTACTTGCTGGTTGATGTGGCCAGCATCATCCCTGCCCCCCCCCCCCGCCCCTAGGACTTGAGAGCTGGTATGTGCACTCAAGGCTGGGTCGATCTGGCAGCCAAGGTCAGTTTTGAAAAAATCTTCCCGGCTCCTTCAAGACCCGATTAGAAGGCGAGCGTCCAGCCGCTCATACTGCCAGGATGTATTACAGTTTTATCCGCCCCCCCCCCCCCTAAGCCCGGCTCTCTAGCGAAGTTTGTTAAACCTGTCTTCACGGCGACTGACTGACGTACTCCTTGAGGTCCGGGTTGACGCCAGGGGGTAGGCAGAAAAGCCACAATTCTCCCAGATTTTCGGTACCTATCATGGAATCAAGGCCGAAGGGTTGCAATATATTTAGTACCGAGCCAAAGAGTTAACAACTCATGGTTTCTGGATAATTAAAAACAAATACATTCCTCCAGCAATGTGACTAATGCAGAAAGGATGAGAGGCGGGCGTCTGAAAAGAAACACACTAAATAGACACGATGGCAACAACGGTGCTGAACTCCCATGCTATAAAGTTTACTAAAGTTAAATCACACACACACACACACAGTGCGTCAAATCTCTCATTTGTTCTAACAACGGAGAATTTAGTTCATCTTTACTAACGATGAAACCTCATCATCAGTAAACACAAATTATTTCTAAGTACATTTCATATTGCCATTGTTTTCACAGGATTCAAAAAATCTGCCCATTTCTGCAGTACAGTATGGGCAAATCTATAGGAAAAATGACTTACCTGAGCATTTCATAAGCTTTTCAAAAGATTCACCCCAGATTTTCAATTCCTCTAACGTTGGTCTGTGGAGAAGAAGTATGAATTCAGTTAGTAGAGAGCCTTAAATATCAATGCCCAGTGATGTATAATGTCGTGTCGAACCCTGCCTCCTCCTTCCCCCGTGATCGGTATCTTCCCACACAGTTTTTGATTTTTCCTCACCCAATATAGTCTACACGTTTAGTTATATCAGAATAAAACAATACACAATTAAAAAAAAAAAAAAACAACAATAACTAATACACAGTGAAAGAAAAGACCGCGAGAAAATAAAATGTGAAACAAAAAGGCGCCAACTTACGGTTCATCCTTTTCCACCATTGAGGCTAGTTTATGGTCACGTGTCCTCTCTGTGCCGCCATTACTGCTTTTGACTGCCAGACTGCAAAACAAGGAACAGAAATTAGACCGGATGAACACTCCGATAACTCATTTCCGTTTTACGAAATTAGAAAAGAGAGTTAACTGGGGAACTGTTGTCAACTCTCAGTATATGGTACTGAGGTCAACTCTATAAAAATGGCACTGGGGTCATCTCTCAATATATGGTACTGAGGTCAACTCTCATTATATGGTACTGAGGTCAACTCTCAATATATGGTACTGAGGTCAACTCTTAATATATGGTACTGAGGTCAACTCTCAATATATGGTAACTGGCAAGCCCAGTACAAGAGCGCCATCTATTGGCTGTGCATTAAAAAACGTTTCTTAGATGGCAGATTGTGTCCAAGCTTTGCCCCTGCATTAACTGTAAGAGCTTAAGATCGAAACTGATCACAGTTAACTAACATTAATTTTTAAGATCGACATTGATCAGAAGTAAAGTTAATTGTTAAGATCGACATTGATCACAGTTAACGTTAATTGTTAACATCGACACTGATCACAGTTAAAGTTAATTGTTAACATCGACACTCATCACATTTAAAGTTGATTGTTTAGATCGAAATTGATCAGAGGTAAAGTTAATTGTTAAGATCAAAATTAATCACAGTTAAAGTTAATTCTAAACATCGACATTGATCGTAGTTAAGATCGACATTGATCACAGTTAACGTTAATTGTTAAGATCGACACTGATCACATTTAAAGTTAATTGTTAAGATCGACATTGATCACATTCAAAGTTAATTGTTAAGATCGACACTGATCTCATTTAAAGTTAATTATTAGGTTCAAAACTGATCACAAAGAAAGTTAATTGTTAAGATCGAAATTATTCATAGTTAAAGTTAATTGTTAAGATCGACATTGATCACAGTTAAAGTTAATTGTTAAGATCGACATTGATCACAGTTAACGTTAATAGTTAAGATCGACACTGATCACATTTAAAGTTAATTGTCAAGATCGATACTGATCACCGTTAAAGTTAATTGTTAAGATCGACACTGATCACATTTAAAGTTAATTGTCAAGATCGATACTGATCACCGTTAAAGTTAATTGTTAAGATCGACACTGATCACATTTAAAGTTAATTGTTAAGATCGAAATTTATAACAGTTAAATTTAATTATTATCATCGAAACTGATTACAGTGAAAGTTAAATCTTAAGATCGAAACTGATCAGATTCAAAATTTCATTTTTGCGTTCCGTTTCATATGCCCAGATAAGACCATCGGGGGTTGCCTCTATGAACTTGCATGACAGCTGCAGGTCCTTCATGGTTCCCCATAGCTTGCTCTGCACACTTTGCTCTTGAGGCCAGGTGTCTTTTCGAAGTTGTAGGTAGAGTCGGCATGTCCGCAGAATGTGCTCAGGTGTTTGTGGTTCTGTCTGACGGGCACTCTGTGGATGCCCAGGATCAGGACAAACAGAATTAGGGCCACACTGTGTGACCTCGTCAGGTCACGACACATATAAATGAACGGGGAACACACACACACACACACACACACACACACACACACACACAAACACACACACACACACATACACATGGACAGATGATAATTAGGAAAAAGCACTAAATATAATATTAAAGAGACAGGACCTAATATATAAATATTCAAACAGCCGACAAACAACAGGAGCTGGGATCAGGTGCAAGGACCCAGAGAACCTACTACAGGACCTGGGGTCAAGTGCACTGACCAAGAGAACCTAGTACAGGACCTGGGGTCAAGTGCACGGACCCAGAGAACCTACTACAGGACCTGGGGTCAAGTGCAAAGACCTAGTGGACCTACATTCGGAGCTGGGGACAGGTGAAAGGACCCAGAGAACCTACCACAGGAGCTGAGGTCAGGTGCAAGGACCCAGTGGACCTACATCAGGAGATGGGGTCAGGTGCAAGGACCCAGTGAACCTACAACAGAAGCTGGGGTCAGGTGCAAGGACCCAGTGAACCTACAACAGAAGCTGCGGTCAGGTGCAAGGACCCAGAGAACCTACAACAGAAGCTGGGGTCAGGTGCAAGGACCCAGAGAACCTACAACAGAAGCTGGGGTCAGGTGCAAGGACCCAGTGAACCTACAACAGAAGCTGGGGTCAGGTGCAAGGACCCAGTGAACCTACAACAGAAGCTGCGGTCAGGTGCAAGGACCCAGTGAACCTACAACAGAAGCTGGGGTCAGGTGCAAGGACCCAGTGAACCTACAACAGAAGCTGCGGTCAGGTGCAAGGACCCAGAGAACCTACAACAGAAGCTGGGGTCAGGTGCAAGGACCCAGAGAACCTACAACAGAAGCTGGGGTCAGGTGCAAGGACCCAGTGAACCTACAACAGAAGCTGGGGTCAGGTGCAAGGACCCAGTGAACCTACAACAGAAGCTGGGGTCAGGTGCAAGGACCTAGAGAACTTACAACAGAAGCTGGGGTCAGGTGCAAGGACCCAGTGAACTTACAACAGAAGCTGCGGTCAGGTGCAAGGACCCAGAGAACTTACAACAGGAGCTGGGTTCAAGTACAAGGAGAATAAGAGTGCATAGAAAGGCAGATTTTAAGCAGGAACTATGACCGTTGCCAAAGTTTAAAAAACAAATCCAAGAAGAAACTAAAACACGAGACATTAAATGAGCAAGCCATTAAACGCATGTACACTTGCTTGGGGCTGTAACCGAAACAATCAAAAAGCTACGCATTGTTATTTCTGCTCGGGTTGGATTGTTTATTGTGTTTATGTTTATACAAACAGACAGCGATCTAGTCCAACTTTCTGGCAGACATTATCTTCAGATATGTGGTCAGGATTTATGAGCAATATGCACTTCCTTGGTTTAGAAAAGGACAGGAAAGAGCGAGAAATGGAGAGGAGAAAGAGAATAAGAAGAGAACGAAGAAGAGGCGGAGGTAGAAGTTGAGGATAAACAACATTAAAAGCTGCAACAGCAGAAGAAAAAGCAGCAGAAAAAGAAAAAAAAATGAATAAGGAAGAAAATGAAGAAGAAGAAAAAGAAGAAGAAGAAGAAGAAGAAGAAAAAGAAGACGAAGAAGAAGGAGAAGAAGATGAAGAAGAAGAAGAAGAAGAAGAAGAAGAAGAAGAAGAAGAAGAAGAAGAAGAAGAAGAAGAAGAAGACGAAGAAGAAGAAAAAGAAGAAGAAGAGCGCAGGAAGAAAAGGAGGGAAGAAAAAGCAGCAGCAACTGAAGAAGAACAAGCAGTACGAGAGGAAGAAGAAGGGATTAATGAGGTAGTGGTGATGACGGCGACGTTTAATGAAGCACAACTGATACTAGATACAGTAGTAGTTGTAGCAGTAACGACAACAAGACAAGCTGTGGTGACAGTCTAGTATTAGCAGCAGCAGCCGATGTCTCATTTTTAGCAGCAATCGCAATGGTCGTAAAAACGGGAACAATCAAAGCAGGGACTGCAGAAGTATTAGCACTTGTTACAAAGTTGGAGGACGTTACACAAACAGCCGAACAATTATTATTGTTGTTGTTGTTGCTGTTTGTGTTTTCACTAGGTAATTTTACCATTCAGTAGTTTACCACTGCCCTTGAACGGTGGGCCCTCCACACCGCTGCCGGAGTCAACGCAAGGAGACGTGCTGCCAAATGGCTCTCAGCTGCAATTAAACCGGGTATCTTGGCATTATGATACCCACAGATACCCACAACAGCAGCAACAGCAGCAGTAGTAGTAGTAGTAGTAGTAGTAGTAGTAGTAGTAGTAGTAGTAGTAATAGTAGTAGTAGTAGTAGTAGTAGGAGTAGTAGCAGCAGCAGAAGCAGTAGTAATAGTAGTAGTAGTGGTAGTGGAGGTGATAGTTGTAGTAGTGATAGTAGTGGTAATAGTAGTAGCCTTAGTAGCACCAGTGGTAGTAGTGTTGGTGGTGATGATAGGAGTAGTAGCAATAGTAGTTGTAGAGTTTATGGTGGTAGTAGTAGTAGTATTATTAGAATTTGTTGTAGTAATAGTAAATTTGCTGTTGGTAAAGCATTGCAAAGAAACGTTTTGTCTGTGACTGAAAGAGCTGACGTGTGTTTATTTCACTGTGTAAAAACTTGTCCCCGATACTTGAACCATTCTAATTTATAAGAAAACTATGGCTTCCACACAGCACAGATCCACCCAAGGTGCTCTACTTATTCGTCTAGACCGGTGTTCAGTGGCCGAGACCCACTGGTGGAGGGCCGTCGAGAAGTTCAGGTGGACCGCAAAAAAGTTCAAGTGGACCGCGAAAAAGTCTAGGTCGGCCACGGAACAGTCCAGGTCGGCCACGGAAAAGTCCAGGTCGGCCACGGAAATGTCCAGGTCGGCCACGGAAAAGTCCAGGTCGGCCACGGAAAAGTCCAGGTCGGCCGCGGAAAAAAACTAGGTCGGCCACGCAAAAGTCTAGGTCGGCCACGCAAAAGTCTAGGTCGGTTGTGGAAAAGTCCAGGTCGGCCACGGAAAAGTCCAGGTCGGTCGCGGAAAAAACTATATCGGCCACGGAAAAGTCCAGGTCAGCTGCGGAAAAGTCTAGGTGGCCCATAAAAAGTCAAGGTAGACTGCTGAAAAGTCCAGGTCGGCCACGGAAAAAG